GGGTTAAGAGGCGAGACTCTCTTACTGACTGGCGTGTGGAACTTACTTGGGACGTTACTCGTGAAGCTTGCTCTTGGGATGAGTAAGAACAGGCGGCCGTAATTGCCTAGAAAAAACGTTTCTGGCCGGAAGCTGCAAACACGCTCCCTTGCCGCGTTCTGGTAAAGAGGCGAAATTTGAACGAGTTACCTGCGTGTTGACTTAGGGCTTTCAGGACCAAGCGGATAGCCGTCCTGGCCAGCAGTGCTCCTGTTTCTGTTTTACAGAGGTAAAATTAGTTTCGTCACTATGAAAACCAGTTACCTGCGTGTTGACTTTAGACTTTCAAGACCAAGCGGATAGCCGTCCTGGGCAGCAGTGCTCCTGTTTCTGTTCTACAGTGGTAAAATACCGTCGACAGTATGAGAACCAGTGTAAAGATGAGCCCGGCGGACGTCAACGCTTATGAAGATACGAGTCCTCCACTTCAAGATGTCCAACCAAGTTAAGTGCTATGTTTTTTGTGTTTGAACCTTGAGTGGGTTTTCAATAATTTTTCTTGGAATGTAAAAACAGCGTCGACTCTTAAATTAATTCTCAGGCCTTAAATTGTTTCCCTTTCCCCTTTTAAATTACCAGACAAACCTTATTTTTTTTTATATGAATTTAAATGAAAAAAAAAAAAGGGTAAATGACAAATTGATGACTTCTCCTTAGACTCTCAGATGAGGTTAAGATTTTTTTTATTGTGATGTAATTGAATAAACTGATATTTAATCTGGAAACCTATTACAGTATGTTTTCTTTATATATTTAATATGTTTTTCCTATATATCTTGTATATGTTTTTCTTATGTTTTCGATCCTCTCACGGCGCGGTCCCGGGATGCATTTTTCACAACGCAAAATGCTTTACCGTTTCACTATACGATCACTAAAAGTTTGGGTAATTAGCAAAAATTCTTAAGAGTTTAGTTTCCTCCCTAAGGGGAAGTAGAAACCTTTCACGGCAAGTAGTTTCATATTTAACATTTAACATATATGAATTTAAGATATAACATTGGTGCCAGACGTCTTTACCAGATAAGTAAATTAAAAAAAAAATTTTTTTTTGGATTGAATTCTCACGGCAAAGCTATATAACAGATGTTCCAGGCTTTCACATATATGGGATGAATATGTCTTGTACTTCACTTATTGGCGTCAAAAGGCTAAAATAGACATGAAAAAAAAAAAGGTGATGTGCTTTGAGAAAGGAAAGCCTGGAATATTAATTTAATAGTAAGAATTATTATTAATTTATATGATAACATAAGATAGCTCAAACATAATTTTAACAGCCTCTTTAGCTAAATTTTAGTTTGACAAAAATAATGAATTTTTTGCCGTAAAACATAATGCACTTTCGAAAGAAATATTGACGAAGTTGATCTTATCTTAATTTTAATGCTGTGCTTTACTGTCATTGACAAAATTGGAGAAAGCAACTTTTGTTGTGCTAAGAAAAAAATATCACGTTAACAGCCGATATAAAGTTAAGAACGATGGGGTTAATTACTGCAAAGTTAATATCTTAAAGCAATTTGTTGGTTGCGCCTTAACGTTTATGTTAAAAGGAAATATATTAGCTGCTTCTTATTCGAAACTGTATTAGATCATTTAATCATCGTTTTTAGAGAATAACCCATCAGTCTCTTATGTTTTAGATCATCCATTATTTAAGGAATTTTTTTCCTCTTTTAAAAGAGTTTTAAAACTCAAGGCCATCTCCTATAGATCATTTTATATTGAGAGCATCCCAGTACATATTTGCTTTATTTTAAAGGCTGCAAATCTAATCAATTGCTGCGATGAGAGTTTCGATTCGCTCTCTCCGGACAGTGTAGATATTTTTGGTGAATGTATATGTGAGAAGTTAATAAGAAAATATCCCGAAATCATTTATGATTTCCTCGCAACAGCTTTCAAGATAAATAAAATATTTAATTAAAGTTTCATGAGGTTGATGTTGGTAACAACTGAGCATAATGTGATAAAGTTTTATTACTATATTTATATGCTAAGTTAAAAAACGTGCTTTCTAAATCTTCAATTAAAAATGCAAATTATCACTTTATCTGTTCTAACAAAGGAATCTTTTATATTGTCAAAAGTGCAGTTATATTATTATGCAGATTCGCAAATCTGTTTTGGGTGAATTTTAATTAAAGAGATAATATGCAAAGATTTAGAAGAATTTTACTAAATTTCTTTTGACAAAGAAAACTTTATACCCATTTCTTGTATGAATCTTACATGAAAATTGAAATTTATCGCTCCAACTATGTAATAACTATTAGGTATCTGAGTGAAGAAAATGTTAAAATTTAACTGTGACAAGTTCAAATCTTCCACTTGCTGGCAGAATGTTCCAGACGTTTATAAGCAAACAGCAAACACAAGAAAATGCGGAAACTCTTAACATTCCCCCTATTTAAAGGGAGACTGAGGAGAGACACGTGTTTTAATCAAGCCGAGCACAGGAAGCTCACCATAATTTTATCTCAATCGTTACTGTAAAGAGTATTAACCTTTTCGGGATGGAAAATGTAAAGAATCAACTATGCTCTTACCTCTATTCAAACGACGAATCATTCAACTGCTTGATGGCAAAGTCGATATTAAAGAAGTTCTTTTTAGACTCCCAAACCCAATTTCCTTGTTTTCGTGAAAGACGAAACTGGATTAGGAGGAATTATAAAAAAAAATTGAAGCTCCTGAAACTTGAGGTTTTAGATTGAGAAACTTGAGGTCTTTTAGCCTTAGGTAATAAACAGCCCGTGTGAGCTCGATGCTCTAATTATTTACACCACAACATTCCTTACAACTATCCATTATATTTAATTGTCAAATGTATATTTTTTTGCGTGTGAAATGTTACTGGAATCAAACATAGCCAAAGACGATGGGCGAGAGTTACTGACCTGCAGTATAATTCCACTTTAATTTAATGCCCACTGTTTCGCATATCTGTTCAGAATTGGCAGATTTACAACTATTAAATCATAATTATTGACCACTTAATCATAATTATTGATTTCAATTCAAGCACTAAAAATATCGTATTAAGGTATATGTTCATGACCACATCCAAGAAATTTTGGTTTACCGTGTTTTACAGAGCGTATACTTTATAAAGTCGGAAAATTTGAGGCAATATATGGTATTCTGCAAAAGGAAAACTAGCCTCAGGTTCAGTTAAAAGAATTTCAGAATTAAAAATATCTCCAAAAGTTTTATTTTTTCAAGCTGCTTTTTAAAACACCTCTTTAAAAAAAGCTGTCGAAGTTCATATTATGAAGAGACATTTTCATGCTATTTTTATTGTTTTTACATATAAATACAGAAAAAATATTTTTAACGCATAATAAAAACCTTTGTATAGGTAACTTATCGTCTTTGATTTGTCACATAGATAATTTTTAGAAATGAAAAATAAATTATTTGGCAGTTAAATTCTAATGAAATAGTTAAAAAAATAATAAAAGCAAAGATAATGCAACGTAAAATTGGAAAAATACCTTGAAATGAATTCCTTTTTTTATAACTGAGAGATACAGCAGAACTAGGAAACAGCGTTTCATGGGTGTTTATCAAAGTAGTATTTTAGATTGCAATAAATTATTACATAGCTCTTAGGTGGAGATTCAATGCTGAAGAAACAAAACACTTGAAGTTATAACTGCATTTTTTTTCGTAATGTTTTTTCTGTAAATGCGAAATTCTCACGTTAATTGGCTTTTATTAATTAAGGAACTGTCAAAATATTCACAGTACTTCTCTAAAATTTCTTCCGAAATAATCAATGAAATCCGAAAACAGTCATTTTATAGGAATTATCTCAATACATCGCATGGTAAAAAAATTTCCACGAATGTCATCCGCCGGCTCTAGATATACTAGAGTAATCTGCCTCTTCTATTATTCATAAATTTTGGAAACATATTTTTTTAACATAGATTCCTTTTCCGGAAGGTTCAGATAAACAAGTCCTTCGGATGACACCTCCCGTGTAAGACCGATATGTGGGATTACTTAAAATGGAGGAGACCATCATTATTTCTATGGGAGTTATCGGGAGTATTTTATTAGATTTTTCTGAATGCATAAGGCTTCTTGATGGAGGTTTCTTTCCTAGGCGGCTAATAATTTATGCATTGCTTATCTCATATTAAAGGAAAGTGAGGTTGCATAGGGCAGGGTATAATGTAAAATAGGCTGAAGACGAATGAAAATTCGTACGTTTCACTGGTAACTCCAGATATTGACTGAAAATTATTACAAGGCTTCCTAGACGTAAAGAGAGATAGTCATTCTTTATCATCCCAATAACATACCTCAAAGAACTTGTTTCGACAGAGGATATATGGATGTTTCTGGTGTCATTCCGTTAGACCAATCATTGTTGAGTGAATGACTGACACCTCAGTGCTCGAAAACAAATTTCTAGAACTTTTATGAATATACCTTTCTGCGAGTTGAATAGATGAAGCATTCGTATAACAAGTTGATACCTCTTACTCAAGCCACTCTCGCAATGGAGAAATACTTTCAAGAGGACCCTTGTGCGCAAGGTTTCACAGAGTTCATTTATAGACATTAATTCGATCGAGCAAATATGGGATATTCGAAAGAAGCAAGTTATTATCGTTAAATTAATAGTCGATACCGATACCAGAGGATACTTTATACATTTTCGAAAGAAATAGTAGTAATTATTCCTTACTTAACCGTTTACGTCATCATAAGTACTATAGAGCCTCTTTGTTAGTCTTGGATTTCTGTAAGAGGTTCTATACCAAAGTACCATTACCACTAACTTGTGACGCCTCATTCCTTAGTAAGTTCCAGTTTGTGGCGTCAAATATTTTTGGTATTTTATCCAGCTTTTTATTTATCATGACATATTTGATTATTCCTAATTTAAAGTAGCCAGTAAAAATTTAAGGCTTTATAATTTTAATTGAGTTGGAAATACTCACCAAATATCAAGATGCAATCTGTCGGAACGAACATCATCAATGTCCCTAGAAAAGAAAATATGTAGTTAAAAGTCTGTTACTTGAAATACAGGTAAATTCTAAAACAAGTCCTAAAATATGCGTAATGATACAGATCGCGAGAAATTTCTTTCTCTTATTCTGGCCTTTTATTTTCGGATCTGGTTATTTGTTTCCACGAGTTGTTTTCTGTAATCGCATAAAGATGTTATAATATAAAAATTTCTCTTTCAAGACAATATATTTTGGTTTGCACTACTGAATTTTTCGATGAATTTACAGAGATAGCACTTGACCTATCATGTCTGTACTTAAGTTTACTAATAGTTGGATTTGATTAAAAATTTTATCTTAGCCTATTTTTCCAGGCCCATGTCACAATATTCGCGAACACTTGACCTATCATGTCTGTCTTAAGTTTACTAATAGTTGTATTTGATTAAAAATTTTATCTTAGTCTATTTTTCCAGTCCCATGTCACAATATTCGCGAACACGTGACCTATCATGTCTGTACTTAAGTTTACTAATAGTTGTATTTGATTAAAAATTTTATCTTAGCCTATTTTTCCAGTCCCATGTCACAATATTCGTTAACACTTGACCTATCATGTCTGTACTTAAGTTTACTAATAGTTGGATTTGATTAAAAATTTTATCTTAGCCTATTTTTCCAGTCTCATGTCACAATATTCGCTAAGACCATAAACCTATGCAAATTTAACGGAATGCGTGATAGTTTAAAGGTAGACGATTAATCTTAACTGGAAAACTTGAGAATTCGGCACGTTGCCGCTTTGTCTTACATAGGATTAGTTCCTTGTACTCGTGAAAAGCTAAAACTTAGTAAATCGTTGAAGTCATCTGTAACTGCCTTATGAGCTTAGAATTAGTAAAGACAACCAGGTATTTAGTTTGAATCTAAAAACGTTTTTTGAAAATAATTGAATCTTAACTACCAAGCCAAGTACCATCGTCGGAAAATATTATTTGTAGGATACATCCACGGTTTACTTAGTTTGGATTAATATTTCCGTTGAATACTCATGAGCAATGGCTAAAATAAATATTTGCTTGAATTTTAATTATACGTTAATTTGAGCTGACAGTTAAATAGTTGTTAAAGGTGACAACTCACCGACAAATTAAGATAAATTTTTCCTTCCGTAGTTGTTATGTGCAACATTCAGCTTAAGTAAAATTTCATACCAACAAACGCACAAACTGCAAAATAAAAACATTTTTTAATTTTTCAGGTTATGAATATTTTTAAATTGTAAAAAGAGGTCAAGCGTTGTTTTTAGTTTGATGGCCTTGGCCATTCATCTCTTGTTTGGCGTTCTCATTCTTTCATCCAACTAATTCCTTTCTCTGCTAATCTGCCTACTCTAGAAATATGTAGACATAAGTAAATGAGGTTTAAGAATACGTCTAAATATGTTCTTGATTTAGATACTGATTATTCAAGTTCGGCCCGTAGAAGTGCTTTAAGTTAGATTACTATTTATGGCTAATTTGTATTAATGAGATATTCTTGCGGAAAAGTAAATTTAATCAGAGTTTAATGTTTGAGAACTGTAAAAAACTGGTGCATCTATCCATTTTCTAATAATTCATTTACTGTGTTACATGAACTATATCTCATATATATTACGAATTTATTGTTGCAATGAAAGGTTTTCTTCCTACTTGCGCAAAATAATGTCACTTATTATTACAAAAATTCGACTGACTTTTATTTGGAGATTATTATTTTCAAAGCAAGCAATGATTCTGGAAATATAACTTACAAACGAAACTTTTCTCTCCATTTTGGATTAAGAGTTGCATTTTTTACCGACGTAGTTCTAATGAGCTTTGCAGGAAGCGTCTCGCTGTTTAGTGCCGGATTTTTGCGGTCTCGTTTCTTGAAAGAAGCACCGAATCTCTTCAGACTCCGCCTTGCTCCACTCTCATCCTCTCCTTCAGCCCGCCGTGCCTCTGCATCTGGTTGAATTCCAAGCATGCAGTAGGGATCGCTGAATCCTAATAAAACAGAAAAGAAATCCTTTTGAGATTATGAGGTTATTTAATCTTCACATGTTTCCTCCACCTAATCAATTCAAAGTACGTGGGACGATCAAACAAAAATTCTAATACTCTTTATGTAAAGAGTTCAGTGCAATTTTACTCGTTAGGTAAAACATTTGTATGTGTGAATTTGCCAATGCTAGTTTCTATTTCCATCACCCCTGTCAGTTGTTATTAACATGTTGGAACAGAAAATTCACAACAATGTCTCGCAGCATTAGAGTTTTGACAAACGAAGTTGTCATTCTGTTTCGCATTTCTGTCATAAATATGTTTGAAGGTAAGGATATCTCTAGGTCTATAGCGTATGAATTGGTGTAGGGCGTTTTAAGAAGGCAGGATGGCAGCTGGAAAAAACCCCACATGCTGTTCGGCAGAGAATCTCAGTCGATAAAGTCGAGCTGACTGTCGTTGATGCAGTAATTCCGGCTTACCATCAGAAAAATCGCTAAGAAACTTAAAAGAAGTGTTCTTAGAGTGGAAGCATTAATTAGTCAAAGATCGTATTAAATTTAACAAGGTGAGTACATGGGTTTGGATCTTTTGATTTCTGAACACGAAGAAAGAATATTAGTTGCAGTATACAACTTTAGCAGAATAGAGGAAAGATCGGAGAAAAGGTTTTCACACTAATAACCTGCAATGAAACTTGAGGAAAATACTTCACTTAAGAGAGGCCCACCAGCGGCCGAGCGGTAAAGTCGCTGAACACTGGGAGTTCGGTCCGAGGTTCGAATCCTGCGAACGGGCTGGCTGCATGGGCGTTTTCGTGGTTTTCCCCATGTGTAACGTGTATACGAGCCAGTATCCTTTAGAAAGTCCTCCACGAAGGCATCCCTCCCCCTTAGGCAGATAGCCCTAGTGTGATTTGCCGTAATTAAATAAACCAAACCTCACTTAAGAGAAAAACAAACAAACATACATTGTCAAAGAAATCCAAGTCTGATGAGCAGGTTATTGACGATATTCAGGAAGAGATGAACATTCAGTCAAATGGCATTTATTCTTCTGTGTCTAGGTACAATAAATGTTTTTATTAAGAATGTCTATAAAATATGTAGTTAAAAGTTATATAGTTAACATCCACTTTAAAGCAGACAACTTTTGCGTGCTTTGCACTAAATGATTGATTAACTATCATAAAAACGCTTGTCAAATCAAAAATCATTTGGTAATATAAACCGTAAATTCGATAAAACTTATTTAATTTAGCCCGTTTTACCGCAGAAAATACAATGAGAAACAAACACTGCAATCGATTGAAAGGGTTAATACTTACGCAAAATAATTCATTAGAAATATTGCTTAACTATTTTTTCAGATAGTATATATTTCGTTTCCTTATATGCACAAAGAATTTTATCACTGGGGCTTTATTTTGAAATTTCTAAGTTTTTCCCCGAGTTTAAATGTATTGATTGAGTTCAAAGTGAAGTGGTAATATGGTAGCAATCACAATAACATTATTATAAATCTGTCTTGCAAAGCCCCTTATAAAGGTAAAGAAAATTAGTTTCGCATTTAGAGAAAATATTTCAGAATTTATCCCAATTACATTTCATTCCTTGTGTTCATAAAAAAAACTAACAACATGCGTTTAAAAGGAAAATTATAGTGATCATAAAATGTAGTGAGGAATTAGTAAAAATGCCATATCTTTTAAAAATTTCACCATTAAATAAAATAAACATTTTCAATGAAAAATTCAGAATTCTATGAGAATTATTAACTAGGTGCACAAAAGGAAAAGTTGGTATGGTGTTTGAGGTGTCCAATCAATTGAAAAATTTGATATGGTATTGGAGGAATCAGACTAGTTGTTTATCTATGGGAATTACACCAACAACTACTTTCAGTTTTGATTTGTGGTCTGTGATGCAAGGATTCAAAGTATCAGCTTGATTGAGAATCGAGTATACGGTTTCTCTTGTTTCTGCTTCCTTCCTTTACACTGTAAGATTCTCACTAGTGTATTTCTCAGTTACTGTAGAAAGTGACGAATCTTAAAAACTAGTTAGCGAATAATCGCTTAAGTTCGTGTAACAAGAAACAACAAGCTGGAAGGGTAACTAACCCTTTATTATTCCAATAAAATTTAACAAAACTCCGTTTTGGAGTGTACAATCAAAGCCGACACTTGGGCTTGAACTTAAGAGACTAAAAATTAAACTAAAACTAAGATTAACTAAAGAAATATAGCCGAAGCTATCAAGATTCTAATCGAGTTGGCCCCTTAACTCTATTTGACTACGAAGCTTATCAAGGGCCTGAGTACGGCTGAGAGTAATAAAAGCTTTGAGAGAGAGAGTAGCCAAAAGGCAGACGCCCGCAAATCAGAAAATCTGATTCTCTCTAACTCTGTAAGTAGACTTCGCGGTTTAAATTAAATCAGAAAGATTCCAAAAATACGTTCTAGCCAGAAGTAGTAAGTTAAAGTTAAGAATTTGACAGGAAAGGAACTTTAACTTAAAATTTAACTGTTAATGAAATTAACATAATCCTTACAACAAGAAAAAGTTTTTTCCGCTCTAAATGTATCATGTCACTCTCTAGCTACACATTGGGTACACTTTCTAGACTACTAGAACTAATTCTTATTCCATCATAAAATTCAGTAGCACAAAGACATCACAACAAGTGTAAACGCAACTAACTATAATATTTATTCAGCTTGAAGTTACAAAACCTAAATTGTTTAACAGAAACTTTCGCTTCCTGCCGCCTGAGTACAACAGTTATACAATTATTTATAAAAATTAAATTAAATTAAGGACGCAGACCAGGATCCTATCCTAACGCGGCTTCTGATGACACTACAAATGAAAGCTATAATTCTCAGCTAGCTCATATAGCTAGAACTATTAACACAGTACATCAGCACATAGAATCACAGGTACACTGCTCCTGAACCAAGTTGCCAAACTCTCGCTAGATTCCCACTCGCTATTTAGACATACTTTATTTTCCTTTCTGGTGAAGTCGATGAGAAGAAGACGTGCAGGAAAGATTTAACATAAAAAACGCGCTAATTAAAATGTACGTCAAAAATGCTGTTCGATTAGGAGGAAAGATGTCAAATGTGACGTAGAATAGGATACACTGTCTCACAAGCAATACCTTACACTTGCACATTGGCTAATTGTAAGAGCTTCTGTTCTGTTGAATTTAGTTCTAATGTTTTTACTCTACCCTAAATAAAAAAAAATTGTCCCCTTTAATCACAACGTATACTTTACCCTCTGAAATATCCTCAGAGTTTCATAAAGCTTTGTGCGTTCCCGAGAAAAGCAACATGCTTGAAACAAATTCTTGATTTTTGCTAATGCTACATTTAAGATTAGCATTGCCAGTTACGATATTTATTTCAATTACAGATAAAGCTGCTCGCAGATAGATACGAAGATAAAAAAATCAAATATTTGTTGCTTTATAAATTGCTTCTTAGTAAAGTAAAAACATTTTTACACTTTTAACATACGTGGAAAAAATAACACATAAATGTATGTGCAAGTTTGCATATATATTTAACAGTAAAAATGTAGATGTTTAGCCAATACTTTCTTTTAATAAAGAACAGCTTGGTGGAGTATAAGAAATATGTGACAAAAATTGGAGTATTACCATTTTATAAAATAAACGCAAGTATTTTGCGATTGACGTTTTAAAGATTACAAGCTTATTTAGCTGAATAAAATGAGAAGAAAATTTATTTAGCTAAATAAAACTGGAAACGTATGACACCTGTCCATGACAGAAGTACAAAACGAGATAATATGGTATTAGACACTTTTATTCTCACCTCATTCTTTTTACTGTATTATACATAGAGGAAGAATAAAATCACTTTGCGACAAACTTTCTCAAAATATTGAGCTTTTTGGCTTTATGTTGCGAGTAGATTAAAGGGTACAGATATACTCATTTCAGATATATATATATATATGAAGCAGAAGAAAAAATCGAAAGTTGAAATTTCTATAAATATTTACTGCCAAGTGAAATATAAAAATAATAACTAGCATTTGACAACGTATACAAAATTTCGGAGAAAGTTAAAGCTATTGTTTCCTTACTAACTACGCCCTACTTCTTACTTTACATTTCCTAGCTACTATCAAAGCATTTCATAAATCGATACAAAATGATATCTTATTGATTTTTTTTCTGTAATTACAGCTTTCTTGCATTAATAATTCACACTTTTACTGTCCCATAGATGCAGAAGAAACGCATATTAGAGTTTTGTCCTAGTAGACGACAAAATCAAGCTAATCATCATACAAAAATCCATAAAATCTTTGTTGGCTATAGGCTCATGGACAGGACCGCCCTTTCCTGGAAAGTGGTAGGCGGGGCGATGTGTCATTGAGAAAGAGATAAGATGATAGGATCAAAGAGAGCGATGCCATCTACTTCGGTGTTCATACTCGCTGGACTCAAAGCTCACATACGCTCTTCGGTGAACTCAAATGAACCAGGCTGTGCTGCTTCCTGATGTCGAAGCGTCACGCAATGCCATCTGTTCAAGGATAAGAAATAGAAAAACAGTCGAAGCAACGTATTTTTCTAGTTTAAATTTATCGGAGAACATTCAGAAAAGTTTATTTACATCAATGGTTTCAAAACATTAATGTATTACGAAAATTTCTATACGATAACCAAAACGCTCATGGAAATTGGCATTCCTTTCACAACGTACATGCTCAACATGCATGAAAAATCTTAAGAATCAAACCAAAAAGTCTTACTGCCCAGTAAGCATACTTTAGAAATAAAATTTTGCGTAAGATTTTCCGTATAAGATAATCTTACATGTAGCATTACTCAAATATTCATAATAACAGTAATACCCGGGTAAGAAGTTGCCCTTCTAGAAAACCTGATGTTTTAAGGGTCTCAAAAGATGTAACTTTTTACGGTTATGTTGCTTTTGCTTACAAAATTTTTCCGCTTAA